GCTAATAAATTTCTAATTGTATCAAAGTCAGTTATAACTTCATTATCACATTTATCAATACATTTTAGCTTATACATATCCATATCCTGTTTTCAAGTTTTACCTAGTTTTTAGTTTTTAATTACACTACTCCAATTTAACCTTTAATATCCATAGTATTTAAGTTTCGGGTAACCCAAATTTCCTTTGTCTCACTACATAAAAGTTATAATATCCGAAATACATATATTACTTACTTAAATATATTCTTATTTTAATTCACAAACATTTTCTATTTCTCATCCTAGTACATCACCTCTTAATATTGGAGTATCCTTTGTTATCCCAAGTCCATCATCTACAGTATATTGTCTGGGCTAAGTAATAATTCAAAATTATTTCCTGATAGTTTTCATTTTTCATTTCCCTTTTAAGTCTAAGTCCTCAATATTACATCAATTATTCCCTTGTTTTCTATTATTTTCCAGCAATTTTTAAATCTAATAATCAAATTTCCCCTCATCTTAAAATCTCCCTTCAGCCCATTAGTTAAGACTTTAGGATCCTCTCTAATAGATCAAATGACCCCATTTTTTTTAAACCTAACTCTAGCTTTCTTTTTATGCCAACCAGGCTTCCATACCAATGCTTTTAGATCATCAGATAGAACTCTCTTCATTCATGTACATGTTACTTGAATTAAAGGAGACCATCTAGTTGTCAATTTTCTGGAGGGATTGGTCCATTGATAATCATTAAGCTGTCACCCTAGTGGCTCAGATCCCCATATTTGCTCTAGTATAGTTGTCTTCAATTCAATCTGGTCTTCTTCTTCCTCAGGTTTCTTCTGGTTTAAGTAGAAAGTCATGTCCAATTTTGTAGTTATTATTTCATTGTCTAAGTTTTCAGTAAGCTGTATTTGTTGATCTTCAAAGCCCTCCGTCTTGATATTACTTTCTTCTGCTTCTGTTGTCTTTTGGGTTGTAGATTCTTTAGTTGCAGTCAGGGTTTCGCTTTGTAGATTTAAGCTGGTGCCTTGGTCTTTCAGTTTAAATTTGATTATCTCGGTGGCTTCAAGATTTTTTTCAAGTATAAGTTTGTAATCAAGCAACATATGTTGCTGGTTGTCCTCCATTTCTGACATAGTTATAGATGGTCCTTTAGTGAAGGCTATTTATTAAACAAGAGTCTGTAAATGTTCACCTCCACAGTTCCTAAAAAACTATTTCACTGTCCAGCCTCTCTTTCAGCTTATAATCTCTCTTAGATAGTGCCAAGGTCAGATCTGGGCTGTGAGCAAGTAACTTGTCAAGAATAATAAAAATAATAGATTGCTGTACCAAGCTTCGCCAGCAGATATCCCCAGTAGCATTTAAAGTCTTTTAAATCCCGGGCTAGGTTTTTATCCAATTTAAGTTCTTCTTTTTTTCTTCTTTTTTACAAGGAAATAAAATAGCAGGTCCCAGTAAGAATAGGAACTTTTTGGATCCCCAGATTTTCTCAGGTAGTCAAACACTGCCATTTTAGAGTGTGGGGGGAAGAATTTCAAAAAGTTTTAATAGGAGAGTTACTTGGGGTAAAGAGAAGGTAGAATCTCACCAAATTCCTCTGTGTTACTTTCAAAGTGCTTGTTTGTAATTTTAACCTCGGCTGGTAATGGCTTAGTGATGAGCCATAAATGGCCAATCTTTTCCCCGTCAGTTAGAAGAGATGCCTTGGATCAAACAGGAGGGTTGCCTCTTCACGCTTGTCGCCCCTCCAGGGCGACTTTTGATCCTTTTCAGGGTCTCCCGGTGGTAAAAACCAGACAGCATGAGAACAATCGCCCTGCATATCCGCCTGTGCCATGATCAAAACCAGAAGTCAGACTGATACAATTCTTATTATATCAGCTAAGTAAAATTCTTTGTAGACAGATCAATATTCAGTTTTAACTTTTAATATTTATACTTTAAATAATCGAAATTTTCTTATCTCAGTTCATAATAAAGTTTAGTATTCAAAGTATGCATCTTATCTATTTGAGTATATTCTCTTTTAATCTTCACTGATAAGTCAAAATACCAATTTTCTTCAGCCTTATTCTAGCTTTCTTTCTCTGCCAACTCGCCTTCCATCTCTGTGCTTTTAAATCATCAAATGGATCTCCCTCTGTTATTATACGTATTATTTGAAATAAAAGATGGCATCCAATCGCCATTTTTTGGGAAGTGCTAACACATCGTCTCTCTCTTTTTCCGTCTCAACGTAGTTGTTCTGAAATATTTATCTTCTCTTCAGTCTATTGTTCTTCTTCGTCCTCAGACTTCTTCTGATTTGTTAGAACGTCTTGTCCATTTTCAATATTGTGAGTCTCTTTTCTCGGTTTTCCGCTAACTCAATTTGTTGATCATTTAAATCTTCTGTAATAGTATTTCATTGTTCCACTTCTTCTGTTATATTCTGTGTACTTGGTTCTTTAGTTGTAGTGAAGGTTTGCATTTGTATATCTAGGTTGACATCTTGTTCTTTGTAGCCTCTTATTTCATCAGTAGTTGTAATAAGAGTTTTAAGAATTGGTTTCATCATAAAAAGAATCTGTTCGTGATCTTCAGCCATATTTTCTTAATAGTGTATTAAATTAAAAGCTTTACAATAAAAAAATAAGAGTAATTTTTTCACAGAGTATGAAGCACAGCTGGGCTTCTCACAGCTGATATCTACCAAGGTTACAGAAGTCTTATTTATCGTCTGGGCTGCAAGCCAAGTCTCTGTTAGGCAATAACAGATTGTAAGATCAGGTTTAGCTGCAAGGTGTCACCCATACCATTTAGGATTTGTTTTTCTCTTTTTTTTATTTAGTCCAAATTTTATAATCCTTTTCGCGATTTTACTACTTTTTTGTAGAGAAAGCCCCAAATCTTCAATAAAAATAAGGAATCTTTTAGTCCTCAAGCTTTAGAAAGGTAAAAGTCCAGTTAAAATCAGGTTTTTCTTTTAATGTTTGAAAACTCCTCCGGATAGTTAGTCGCCGCTATTAGAGAGTAGGATAAAGTCTCCCTTCCCTCGCTACAGGGGGGAAAATACTTTGGGCAGCTTATGCAGGTGGAAAAAATAATTAGGATTGAAGAGAGGTTCAGATCTCACCCAGTCTTTTCCGCACTGCTTTGTAGGAGCCTGGTGATAAGTGTGACTTCAGCTGTCTGCAGCCTAGTGATGAGCCATATTGCTGTGCCCGGTCTTTCATCCGCTGGTTTCCCCCCCGGATCAAGGGGAAGAGATACTATTCTCCCGTGATCCAGCAAGAATCTCCTCCTTGCTGGTCGCCCCTACAGGGTGACATTCGACCCTTTCCAGAGTCCCCCAGCAATGAGAAATTGGACATGCAAGGTGAGCTCGCCTTCAAAACGTCCGCAGCAGCCGCGTCGGCAAACTGGAAGTCCGTTTCTCCATTGAATTTTAATTTTTTAGATAGGGTCCCAGAGTTCAAATATATCAAGATTCTTCTGTATTTTGAGCTTGTCTTCTGGGTGTTGGCTATTTCTGCCAGCTTAGTGTCATCTCCAAATTTAATAAGTTCCCCTTCTATTCCTTCATCTAAATTGTTTATGAAAATATTGAAGAATAGTGGACCTAAGATAGAGCCTTGGGGTACCCCACTGTTTATAGTGCTCCATATAGATGTAGTTCCATTAAAGACTAACCATTAGGTGCGGTTTGTCAGCCAATTACAAATCCATCTGATGGTGATTAAGTCAAATCCAAAGTCTGCAAGAAACATCTGATGTTCTGAGTTGAAAAACACAGTCCAAAGTTCAAGCGATGGGATCTGGCAAAGCTGGGAAGGTACACATCAAAAAAAGCAGGTGTTCCCAACAAACACATCTTCACTCAGCATCTGGTTAAATTATCCTTCCCCAGTTGTTCATTTTGAGGATGGGTGGGGCTGCTGCTGACCTCCTCTGTGCCTCCCATTGCTCTGCGTTCCTCACCTGTGGATCGAGCGGGAGGCACAATTGACAATTGTATTTGAACTTGGACCTTAGTAGTCTTCCATGTGTCAAATGAATCATGATTCATGTAAGAGGTTATTCTAACATTGTGATATGTTTGCTTTTTATTTTAATGTACAGTTTTTTCTTTTTTTCATATTTTATACATCAATTTTATAAACAATTAACATTGCACTTTTCTTTAAATGCTATAGGCAAAGAGGATGGCAATAAGAGCACTCTGGACAACTGAGAATAAGAATAATAAATATTTTGCATTTCCTTCAGAAAGCCACACCATTCTCCTTCTCCAGCAGCTGATAGACAAAAGAGAGAAAATTAAGAAAGATTTCAACCTGGAATAAGTAGAGCATATGGAACTCAAGGATGCATTACATGAAAAGTCAAGGGAGATTATTCTTTATTCAGTAAAAGAGGGAAATATCTGGACGTCACTGGATAGGAAAAAGTCACTTGGAGAGCCACCTAGGGCAGACAGTGATGCAAGCCGTGCTCTGGGAGGAAAAAAACAGCTTTAATTTAAAAAAAAATATATTAAAAAAGGGATCACACATGTTTTTGACATCCTCAAGGATATAAGTGGTGGAAAAGCTGCATAGATGTGCTTATTGTGGGAAAGATACAACTTGCAAATCACAGCTGATTACGCATGAGAGGACCTATACAGGAGAGAAGCCATAAAATTTCTCCAAATGTGGTAAATGCTCTATTGAGCATGGCAATGTGGTGAGACATCAGAGGACTGACCCCACATATGAGTGCCTGGATAATGTGAAAGTTTCATTTAAAATTCCCACGTCATGAGACAGCAGAGGACTCACACAGGAGAGAAACTCTTTGAATGTCCTTATTGTGGTAAAGGTTTCAGTGACAATTCCAGCCTGGTAACACACCAGAGGACTCACACAGGAGAGAAACCCTTTGAATGTCCTGATTGTGGTAAAGGTTTCAGTACCAATTCCAGCCTGGTGAGACACCAGAGGACTCACACAGGAGAGAAACTCTTTGAATGTCCTTATTGTGGTAAAGGTTTCAGAGACAATTCCACCCTGGTAACACACCAGAGGACTCACACAGGAGAGAAACCCTTTGAATGTCCTGATTGTGGTAAAGGTTTCAGTGACAATTCCACCCTGGTAAGACACCAGAGGATTCACACAGGAGAGAAACCATTTGAATGTTCTTATTGTGGTAAAGGTTTCAGTCAGAATTCCACCCTGGTAACACACCAGAGGACTCACACAGCAGAGAAACCCTTTGAATGTCCTGATTGTGGTAAAGGTTTCAGTTTAAATTCCACCCTGGTGAGACACCAGAGGACTCACACAGGCGAGAAACCCTTTGAATGTCCTTATTGTGGTAAAGGCTTCCGTGACAATTACAACCTGGTAACACACCAGAGGATTCACACAGGAGAGAAACCCTTTGAATGTCCTGATTGTGGTAAAGATTTCAGTGACAATTCCAGCCTGGTAACACACCAGAGGATTCACACAGGAGAGAAACCCTTTGAATGTCCTGATTGTGGTAAAGGTTTCAGTACCAATTCCAGCCTGGTGAGACACCAGAGGACTCACACAGGAGAGAAACTCTTTGAATGTCCTTATTGTGGTAAAGGTTTCAGTGACAATTCCACCCTGGTAACACACCAGAGGACTCACACAGGAGAGAAACCCTTTGAATGTCCTGATTGTGGTAAAGGTTTCAGTCAGAATTCCACCCTGGTAACACACCAGAGCACTCACACAGGAGAGAAACCCTTTGAATGTCCTGATTGTGGTAAAGGTTTCAGTGACAATTCCACCCTGGTAAGACACCAGAGGATTCACACAGGAGAGAAACCCTTTGAATGTCCTGATTGTGGTAAAGGTTTCAGTGACAATTCCACCCTGGTAAAACACCAGAGGATTCACACAGGAGAGAAACCATTTGAATGTTCTTATTGTGGTAAAGGTTTCAGTCAGAATTCCACCCTGGTAACACACCAGAGGACTCACACAGCAGAGAAACCCTTTGAATGTCCTGATTGTGGCAAAGGTTTCAGTTTAAATTCCACCCTGGTAACACACCAGAGGATTCACACAGGAGAGAAACCCTTTGAATGTCCTGATTGTGGTAAAGGTTTCAGTAACAATTCCAACCTGGTAAAACACCAGAGGACTCACACTGGAGAGAAACCATTTGAATGTCCTGATTGTTAAAAATGTTTCAATACACATTCCATTCTCACTCCAAGCGAGAGATATTTCAAAGAGTAAAGAAAAAAACCAAAGGAAATACATGGCAAGACATCCATAGGTCCCCTCCCCCCCCCCATTGAATGGCAGAACCCAAAAGTGAGAAAAAGGAAAGGGGTAAAAGGGAAAAAGGGGTTTTGGTACTTACATTCTGATGCACTTCTGGATTTCAGAGAAATGTATATAGAACACATCAAGAAAACATAAATACCTCTCAGAAGGAGATATATATTGCAATTAATTCAAACAACAATGAATTCAAATCACAACGAAATCCAAAATCAAATTGAAAATATAAATTTATCTATTTCTAAGTTAACTCTACAACAAAAAAACTTCCAGGAAAAAACAACAGAGAAGGAGCAGACAAAACAAATAAGTGGATATAAAATTGAAAATAGAGACTCAAAGATGGAACTTAACAAGGCAAGAAAACATGATTTAATCCTAGTGGGAAAAAATTGACAAGAAATGGAAAAAAACAACTCATCCCTTAAGACTACAAAATAAATCTGAGGACAAAAAACCAGATTGGACAAAATGGAATGTAGAGATGTTGAAAACATCAGAGAGAAAGGAAGTGATAAGAGAAGCAGAGAAGAAGAAAAAGATTTTCAAGAAACATAGAAAGGCAAAAGCCTCATATAAAGACACTTTATTTGATTTACTTCTTATACCTACAGCAACAGTCATGAATATATGGGAAAACTTTTTGATTCAGCAAAATACATTGATCAAGAAACATACTGGTCAAAGGAAAAAGATTAAAGTGAAAATTAAGAAAATAGATGATGGGATCTTCCAGAGAGAATATTTTAAAAAGAAACATTTGTTTGAATATGATTAAAGAAGTAGAAAAGATTTTGAACACATATGTCATTCTAAGAGGGATGAATTCCTTAAATAATACTGTATGCTTTCACCCCCTTTTTATTTTATTTCCTGATATAAGTAACATAATACTGTTGAAATGGCTTAGATGAAGGAAATGTTTTAGATAATTAAATGGGTTTGAATTTAGGGAAATTATAATGTATAAAAAAGAAAAAATGTTTGAATAAGAGTTAAAGGATCAGATGACTAGACACATTAAATGGAATATTTAAAAATTAAATATATTTTTAATTATGGTTAAAAAAAATAAGAAATTTGGGGAATGAATATATATTAGCTTAGGAGGAATATATATTTTAAGTAGTATTTTACTTTTTATGTTTCTTTACTCTTACTCTCTTTTCCTTTTGTTTAATGTTTTTACCTATTCTTTAAGAAACATAAAATTATGGAGATGGTTTATGTGGGAAAAATGGATTTAAATCTTTAAATGTAATTAACTGTTGAGAAGATCTTAACGAGCAAGAATACTTTGAACTTTATGGGAGAAACAAATTTAAATAAGGACTGTAACAGGATATAAGATGATTAGATAGAAAAGAAATATTATATTGATGTGATCATTATTTCTAAGAATATTGGGGGGAAATCATATATGTAACTGTTACTTATCAAAATAGTAAGAACTGTATCAATTCAAGGTTCTCAAAGAAGACATTTTGGGGAAAAGGGGAAATCAACTAAATGTACTATGTGGATTAAGGATTATAGAAACCAATTAATGATTTTTCTTTACAAATGGAAACCCAGCAAACACACTGTTTACCAACTGCTAAGTGATTTATGATTAAAAACATCAATAAAATATGTGAGTTTAAAGAAACTTATTATTCTGTAATTCTGTAAAAAGGTCATGAATTTTTAGGGTTCACCATATGGCTGATCACAAGCTAAGTCGCATCGCAGTTTATTATTTCACTTGATTCAGTTGCAAAGGTCGGTTGCTTAAAGTCAAAGACTATTTGATAGCATGCAATAAGTGAAAATATCTTGCAAACGCCTTAGGTACCTATCTGAAATGGTATAGGGCAGCGGTTCTCAACCTATGGGTCGTGATCCTTGTGGGAGGGGTTGCACGAGCCTTTCACAGGGATCACCTAAGACCATAGGAAAACACACATTTCCGATGGTCTTAGGCAGGGCTTGTCAACTGCCTTCTCTTCCCCCCCCCGTGGCAGTGCCTCCCTCCCCCCCCTCCGCTCCACCTCACTTGTTTGTGGAAAATATGCTGCTTGGCAGCAGTCTGCACAAACTCTACCAAATGTGCCCTGCAGGGACGCATGAAGAGCGCAGGCGCAGAGCAAGGCCCCGCCTTCCCCAGAGACTCATTGTGCAGCAACCGGATTGATTTCTTCTCAGCATGATTAAGAAGAATCCACCAATGGGTTATCTTAGTCCTATTGCCCAATCAGACCAAGTTGTCAAGTTGTCACGCCTCCTCATTATCTGGGGACCTCCCAGTTTTCTTCTTGGTCTTCGCCCATTACAGACGTGATTTCTTGACTCTCTCTACGTTGGAGCAGGTCTGATAGAAAATTTACTCATTGGTGGATTCTTTAAAAGAGTTTAACAGCTTAGTTGAGAGTTTTGTTTTCCCCTCTGTAAGGATTTGCTGCATTCCCCTCCTCAGGGTTAGGTTAAAACTTTCTAAGGAAAGGGGGGGTGGGTTTTTCACTTCCCCAGATTCAGTATCCTGCTGAATCAGCAAACAAACCTCACCCTACATAGTGTGGGGGGGGAGGTTTAACCTATACCCATTTCAAAGGTGTTGTTAAAAAAAAAAAAAGATCTCAGTTGGTTCCTTTCCTTGCTGCTTTCAGTTTTGCAGCCTCGTGGCTTCTCCCTAGCCGGGCTCGGCTAGGGACTCTTAGCAGCAGCCATTTGAATTTCAAAAGGCCTAATCTCACTTCTAAACACCTTTTTACTGCTGCAACAAAGGAAAGCCCAACGGTGGCCTTACAATCACCTAAAGCCACTGTGGAAGCATTAGGGGCCTCGTGCGGCAGCAATAAAGCTTTTTTGCACCTAACGGCTGTTAGGCACAAACCCCTGCTTCTCGGGCCAAAGCAGATTCCAATTAGCCTCATTTGTGGCAGTCACTGGCCCCTTGCACTGCAGCATTAATCCCTGACACACACCCCTCCTTTACCCCCCTCCCTCCTGGTATTCCCTCCAAGGGAACGTTGACAGAGCCCACCATTTGGAGGCTCATTCCCCCTGGCAGTCGCCATTTTGAATTAAAAATAATAATAATAAAATAAATAAATAATACATAAATAAATAAAATGAATAAAAAATAAAATAAAATAAATAAATAAATAAATCTAAATTGAATGCAATAACGGGGGTGAACTACAAATGTTAATTGTATTAAACTAGATTGATTAACAAAATTGCTGGCTCCTTCTTCTGAGTCTCAGTTTCAGCCATCTCCTGATCCATGCACCTGTGAGCAAGAGTGTGGTACCAACAGCAGCTCTGGGTCTTCAGCCTGGTCGCCATATTGCCTGTCTGCCCTTCTGCATCTGGTGGCTGTTCCAGCATCCTGACCATCGCCACTACTGTGGGACACGTGTGATTCTTCTCCACCCAATCCACGTAGGTCAGTCCCCCGCGGGGGCGTCTGACGTCCCTTGCAGAACGAATCAGGCCAAAGGCAACCTTGGGTTGATTTCGATGGAAATGGCAGACCCTTCTGAGCCACGTTCCTTGGACATGGACGTCATTCCCGCCTCAACTGAGCCGACACCCGAGCCTCCATCAGGTAAGGCGAGATCCAAGTCTAAGCACGGCAGGAAAGCTGGCACGGCGAGCGACAAACTGGCTGAACGCACCCACAGAGCTCTGGAGAAGCAATTCTCCCGGGCCCAACGCTTGTCTGCTGAAGGAGGTCTCACATTGCCAACCTCCGTACCACCCGACAGGGGAGAGCCTCAACCATCCACATCCAGAGTATGGTCGCCGGAGACGGGGTATCAACAGGTCCCAACTCGGACTCTTGGTCAGGTAGGCCCACCCGTGTTTGGGGAGAACTTTGCCTTGCCAGGTTCATCTGCATCACCCACTGCTGCCAGCACACTACCTGCTGCGGGGTTAAGGCTTCCGCTAGAGCAGTCCGTCTCCGACCAGCTCCAAATGTGGATATCACAGGCAGTGTGCCAAGCTATGGCATCAGCGAGTCATCAACAAGCCCCCTCCGTTCCAGGACCATCCTCTTCTTCGGCACCAACAACTGCCGTGAGGCCTCCACTGGATCAGTCAGGTATGGTCTCTCCCTCTCAATCCCCTGATTCGGACCCGGATGTTTCAGATTACGGGGGAGGCAAGGATGGTTGGTCGGATTGTGAGGAACCATCTTACGAATCCCAACCCATGGCGGAGCTTTTTAATGCTTCGCTATTTCCAGCTTTGTTACGCAGAGCGTGCGAGGCAAGTAAGCTTTCCCCTCAGTCGGTACCAACCCCTCAGCCTTCCTCCGATCAGGAAACCAATCCTTTGTTTGCTGTGCCTGTAGACACGCACCTCCATATCCCTTGTCCACAGCTGTTCTTCCAAAATGTGCAGGATCAGTGGGAATCACCAGCAGCCCAGCCATCTCAAAGCGCGTCTGAGCGCAAAATGGTAGACACGCCTAAGGCATTCGGAGACCTACTAGAGGTCCCAAAAGTGGATGAATCGTTGGCACCGCTTTTCTCCACTGCCAGCCTTCCAGCTGATGTATCCGATGCCCTTAATGCAGAGGATAAAAAATCTGAAATGGCCTTACGCAAAGCGCACTTGGCATCTGCCTGGGCTGTGAAGGCAGCGACGGCCACTTCCTTCTTTGCAAGAATCTCTATCACCTGGCTGCGTCAGCTGCAGGATAGAATCCCACTTGAGGAAACTAGAATGCATCAGGATCTAACAAAAATACTTGCCACATCCGAATATATGGCCGATGCCTCTCTGTATTCAGCCAAACATTCAGCCCGGGCTATGGCTTCCAACGTGGTAGCTAGGAAACTCCTGTGGCTAAAAAATTGGAGGGCCAAAAGTAAGCATAAGTGGCACGTGGCCACAGCCCCTTTCAAAGGT